TCATTACTCATTATCCATCTTAAACTTATCTTAACCCCATCTCTCTTCCCCTTACCCTATCAGGATAATAATATTACAGGCATATAGATCTCGCATGTCCTGTCAGTTGGCCCCTTATCAGTCTGACTACAACGTGTCTCCCATCTCTCTATAGGGTCAAGGAAATCACAAATCATACAACCATTCTTATCTTCAAGGATACAATGAAAGTATTAAAATAGTATAGCTATATTTAAAGCTAAAAGACTACAAACACAAGCAAGGGGATACAAGGAAGTAACTATCTTTAGAAATTGCATGGGCATGTCATTGGGAAGAAATACATCACTCTTGACAAGAACACTGAACGCAGTTTCTGTCACAGATGCACCCATTCTCATATGCTAGCCCCCGCCCCCACCCCCCATGTCTTCATATGCAGGTACAACTTCCACATACTCAGGTCCACTATCAAATTCAGTCCCCATCAGTATCTTGAATCAGATTCTACCTTCTCTTTGAAATCTCCCTTGTTCTTTCTCTGCAGACCAGGCCCCATTGTGATTCAGTGAAATGATGGCCTGGGTACGAAAGCTTGTACAAAGCGAGACAGTTGAAGAAATGGCCAAAATGCATTTCTACAGAGGAATATGTGAGTTAATGTCTGTGGTCAGCTGTCTGCAGCAAGCCAAAGAAGATGACTGCTTTTATGTGGAGCTAAAGGAACATATTGAGAAGGCTACAAAGGAGTTGGGCATTACTGAAAATTTGGTTCTACAGGGTCTGGACAAGGTAGATTCAACGACTTCAGAGATTTTGGCCTCAAAGAATAAACTTGTGGAAGAACAAAAAACAAAAGAGAATGAGCTTGCCAATTTACAAAGCCTTCATATGGCTTTCAAAAGACTCGGTGAGATACAAAGAGAAGAGTATTTGCGCCAAGGAGCTATGAAGGAAGAGGCAGAAAAGGCTAAAGCGGCTGCAGCAGATGATATTTTGGAACAGGAAAAGCTGAAAGTTTATGGCTTGGTGTTGATGCTGATACCACTTGTGGGACCTGTCATTGGTAAGTATTAATGATACTCTGCACATTTCCAAAAAGGAGTTGGAAGAAGTCCTTTGGAATGCCCAGAAGCACAAGCAACTGAGCTCTCTGCTACTCATTAAAGCAGCCACATCTTTTCTAGGCTTCCATGGGGTTGACTCCATGAGTCACACTGACAATATGGCTGCTTTAATAAGCTGGTTTCCTGGTAGTCTCCCATCCAAATACAGTGGTACCTCTACTTACGAACTTAATCCGTTCTGTGACTCTGATCGCAAGTCAAGTTGGTCACAAGTCGAAGTAAATGTTCCCATAAGGTTCAATGTAATTACCCTTAATCCGTTCCGGCGTCGGCGGACCACGCGTCAGGGGCGGAAAAACGGCCGCTGACCACGTGGAACGGGCGGAAAATGGCCGCAGACCACGTGGAACGGGCGGAAAATAGCTGTGGACCACGTGGCACGGGCGGAAAATGGCTCGTAAGTCGAGCCGAATTCGTAAGTAGAGGTAAATTTTTGGGGCCGGAGCTGATCGTATCTCGAAAATTTCGTAAGTAGGGGTGTTCGTAAGTAGAGGTACCACTGTACTAACTAGACTCAACTCTGCTTAGGTTTTTTCCAGATCAGCGAAGGTCCTCTCTCTTAGATAACTGCAAAATCTAACACACGTGTCGACATAGGTCATTGCATTTGAAGTAATCTGGCATGGCTGGCAGAGAGTTTGGCTTTTGCTGGTGGGACTACTGATCCCTAGGCTCTTCAGCTCAGAATGCAGGTTGTTGCTAGTGAATTAAATTATAATATTCGGGAAGAAGAAATCACTGTTAAAGCCACTAATCCGTGGGGCAGGTTTTGTAGTACAATGGTTATTTTAGCAGATGGGATAAAAAATCATGCCCTTGAATATACTCCCTGTGCCTACTGTCAGCCCCAAAAGGTTAACCATGTTGCCCTTTTTTGTCCAGTTTTGTTGGCAAAATAGTTGGTCACAGAATAAGGAACAGAATTTTGGAGACCCAAACTGGAGAATATGCAGCAATGGCAAAACTGGCAGTCTATATTCATAACAGACATTTAACTAAATTCAAGCAGGGATGGTATCCGCAAATACGATATATTACACAGCAAGGCAAATGTAGACATTTGGACGATGGTTTTTAGGAAAAGAGTTAAGAGACTAATTAAAAACGACCGATGAAATGATTTAGACGGATACAAGCAACAATCTCCAATGTTTAACGTCCAAAGCACAGCACAAATATTTAAGCAGTGATTGTAGAAAAATGGAAGAGAAGGGGAGAATGTGTTGCTGAAAGTTCCTTTTCAAATTTTTGTTCTGTTTCATTTTCCATTTGCTTTTTCTATCTTTTGTGTGTGTGTGTGTGTGGGGGGGTACTTTTATTCTTGTGTGACTTCTGGTTCAGCTTATGTATTGAAATATATAAAAAAGAATGGTCCCATTATCTGCTATCCCCTTAGATTTTGTTCAGCTGTGGTCACAGTTTTAGATGTCCTCAGGAGAAGGAGCAGTCGGCAAATCTCTTTTGTCCAGGGTAGCTTCCAATAAACGATACCGCATTGTGGATGGAAAGTGATTACTCCATCTTCAATGTTAAACTCAAGGATTTAGGAAAAAGAAGATACTAGAAGAAAAATAGAACCCGCTATACCAGTTCCATCGTTTTAGAAGTAATTTAAGTAGCCTCCTGAAGTATATAATATATATACTTCATAAAATAATAATTTAGAGGACTTGGGTGAACCTTCCCACTTAGACTTGCCTTCTGAGGTTCGCCTATAATTGCCCAGGATTGCTGCGAACTCCTAGGGGGGGGGGGGGGGGTTGAATTTCTCTATGGCCACTGCAGTTTTGGGAAAGTCCTCCCTTCAGGCCTTACTGTTTAACACAGAAATGTAACCTTTGTGTAACTTTGTACGCAAGTCTAGCTCAGGGTTTCTCAACCTTGCTGGCTGGGGAATTCTGGGAGTTGAAGTCCACACGTCTTCACGTTGCCAAGGTTGAGAAACCCTGGTCTAGCTAATACTAGCCATCATCTGCTCCAAGTGAGTACCTGACCATTTGCTCAATGTCCTTCCGCTGGGTCTCTCAAACGTCTTTGGGGGCAGCCTAATGTCATCCCTCCGGCATTGCTGGAGCGTAAAAGTGAGTCTCCTTCAGGTCGAGCTGAACTCCCTATGGCGTCACGGAGAGCACTGGACATGGTTTGCCACTGTCTCCTTCTGGTTTCTCCACTCCCCCAGGCTAGCCTAGAGACGTAGGGTTCCCTGGAGCTCTCCACCTTCAAACACAGACAAACACCAACCCTGCTTAGCTTCCAGGCCACAGTTACATCATAAGGAATTGTCTAAAAGTATGTGAAATAACCTTGTTTGGACAAAGGTTTTGGCTACGTGTTACATCTTGCAAGCCCCACCTCTTGTTTCTGTCTCATTATCAGGGGGGATTCAGATTCTCAGCGCTCACATGGCTCAGAAGACAGCTGAAGAACAGGTAGCTGTTGCACAGGTAAGGATAGAGGATTATAGTGCAAAAGAGCAGATGGCTCTTTGCGAAGTTTCCAGGTGCGAGAAGCTGTTGAAAGAGCAAGAGAATAAAATTAAGGTGACACAGAAGAGTCTTCGAGCAATGGAAGATAAAAAAAAGAAGCTAGCCAACTTTCTTAACGAGATTCTGAAGCTGCAAGCAGCGCTCAGATTCTGTGCTAGAGAGGTTGGAGACCTACATATGAAGGTAAAGGTGGTTAGGGTAACAAACCAGTATGTGTTCAATTATGATTCCTGGAAGCATCAGATTGATGGTATCATACAGCATTTGCTTCGGTTCCTCCATGCAGAAGATGCTGAGTACCACTTGCTGGACTCCCCCAAGATAAAACGAGGGATTAGGAGACTGAAATTCCTCTCTGAGTCCCCAAGCACTTTGGCCAGAAATATTTATGCTCTTAAGGATCTGCTACATGACGAGATTGTCTCTTGGTACTTTATCATTGGGTTTGTCATACTGGCCTTTCTCTGGACAAGTGACTTCTTCTACAAAGCTCTTCTAGCTATTTTCATTGGCTTTATCTTCGTCGCTTACCTATCCCTGTAGCCCTCTATTTCAGGAGCACCTCCCCCTTTGTGCATCTGCTCCATTCCTTAGATCAGCAGGAAAGGCCCTTTGAAAAGGCTTCTGCTGTCACAGACTGGCCCCGGCAGGATGGGGCCCTGCTCTGGGGGTCTCCAGGCTGTGCAGTGTTCTTCCGGGGAGGGGTGCTTGGCCCCTCCTCTCCCAGTCAGTAGAAAAAGGGGGGAAAGACACAACGTGCTCCTGTTGGCAAACTTGCATCAGTTAATGTAATTGTGTGACTTAAATATCTTGTTTTACACTTGTATTTTTATTTTCAATGTTGTTAGTAGCTTTGTGCTTATAAAAGTACTATGGTGGGCTATGAATCCAATAAAGGAAGAAAATATTATTGTTGTTGTTGTTATTATTATTAAAATTTACTATGGCTGCAGATTCCTATATAGCTCTCTGGGGTGGATTCCATGGAGTGCAGGTTCAGCATCTGTCTGCATCTCATTAATGTAGCCATAACTTTTTCTAGGAAGCTCCATATGGTCCTGGGAAAAGACACAGTTGCTTTAATGAGCCACAGACTGATGCTAAGTTTGCGCTCCTATATTTTGCAAAGTACCTCGTCTGAATTCATTCCAAAGCATTGCATGGTCCTCCTATATCTAGAACTGCTGGTGATAGCCATCAAGGGGCCTTCTGTCAGCAAGCTACTGACTCTAAGCTCTATTTCTCTATAACATCAGAAACAAGAGAGGCTGTGCGTAGTCTCAACCACTCCTGGATACAGTGTTAGATTAAAGGTAAAGCCTCCTTCAAGTTGAGCTTGATTCTTGATGGCTTCATAGACAAGTCCGTGCAGTTTTCACGGCATTAAATGGAAGTGGTTTACCACTGTCTGCAACTTTGGGATTTCCTGGTGGAATCCCACCCATATACTAACCATGTCGTGGGCATCCACGTGGGACAAGTGGGAAGACATGGGGAAATGTGGGAGTACATTGCCACACCAACGTCATCATCTATGCATTTCTGTCAGGTGTTGAGACACTACATAATGCATCACTGACAGCTGGGGTCTCAAACACACAGCCCAGTGAGTTCTTTTATGTGGCCCACAATGGCTCAAAAATTTAGAGCACTGCCAGAGCACGAGTCCCACCAGGGTGGCTCTGAAGGTCCTTCTCTCTGCTGCAAGGCAGGACAGTAGTGGAGAGAGCGAGCTGCCCCAGGTCTTCAGAGCTGCCCTGGCAGGATTTGGGTTCCGGCAGTGTTGTAACTTTTGAGCCGTCGCACAAATGGTAACCTGGTTACCGCAACATTGAATGGGAATGTCCTGGGTGCAAACTAAACTTGAAATGAGCCACCATCGTTTTCCAACACACACATCCTCATTTTGGCGTCATCGTGGTTTGCAGCTGCGGGCACAACTGCACACAGCTAATTAGCTGATCCTAGTTAGCTTTTCAGGATCAAACAAGATTGGTGAGAGGTTAAGTAAGGGCAGACACACCATGTCTAAATCTGAGAACATGGAAGTGCAATATTGAAAGATTCCTAGTGTACGAATGAGGGAATTTGCTCATACCAGATGGGGCTCCTCAGAAATCAAAGTAGATCAGTTCATTGATGAATGTGGGTTCCATTTATGTGCACTGGTACACCACTGGACATGTTCCTTCTGGGCCCACAAGTGAACCAGTGCAGTATTCAGCACACAAACAAGCAATGTTCAGCTGTCCGGGTCCTGGGGAGCCTCTGGAGGAAACTGCTAAGGAAGAACAAACAGTGCATATTATGTACACACCCACACACTGAGCATCTGCAGTTTCAGATTTTAGGGTCATCCCAAGTATATCATCCTTACAATTAGAAGAGGATAACGGAATGTTAGAAGAATAAAATGGAGTTGGCTTCTGCTATTCTAACAGTCAAAAAAACAGTGTCTCTTTGTAAACATGCCTAGGATGATTAGCAGTCCTATCTGTGTGAGCAGCCAATTCCAAAAATGAAGAAAGCTTTCACTTTTTCTTTCCTGCAGTGGCAGAGCTGAAGTCACACTGTTTCCAAGAAATGCAGGCGTTCAGAGTTGCCAGAACTAAAAACTGAGCTGCTAGAGCTGAACATCTCCAAGGGTGAAGTGGGTTGGACACCAAATACAGCTTTAATTAGCAGACTCTGGAGATTTGTGTGGTTTATGGGTGCGCACGTGCCTGTGTAAGAAGGGAGGGATTTTATGAGTTTGAGTAGTGCTTAATTTCTGAGCTTTTTCCAAGCTTGTCCCGTATCAGTTGGCAGCTGTATTAAAGAGATCCCACGTATTGGGGGCAGTAGACTTCACCTCTGCCTGGCACCACTACATGGCTTATCAGGTTACCATTTTTGTCGGAATAGTGAAAGAAGAGCAGCATGGAATCATCTGCAGCACCTAATGTGTTTCTCAGTAGTAGAGACTGAGTACCAGAGAAGAGAAGAAGAAACATCAGAGCAGACCTACATAATCCTTCCCGTCAATGTCCTTCAGAAACTTTGTATAAGGATACAGGTAATCCTTGCTTAATGACCACAATAGGGACTGGAAAATTGCTTGTTAAGCAGGGTAGTCATTAAGCGAGTCACCACATGACCGGACCTGATTTTATGACCATTTTTACAATGGTTGTTAAGCGAATCACCATGGACATTAAGTGAATCATGTGGTTGTTAAGTGAATCCAGCTTCCCCAACAAACTTTTTTGCCAGAATTCTCTTAATGACCATGTGATTTGCTTAACAACCACAGTGATTTGTGTAACAACCATCATAAAAATGGCTGCAAATCCTGATCACGTGACCACAGGGGGTGGTGTGACTGTTTGTGACGGTCGTAAGTGCGAGTACAGGTTGTAAAGCACTTTTTGCAAGGCCATCATAACTTCGAACCATCATTAAACAAATAGTCGTTAAGCAAGGACTACCTGTACAGAAAAGACATACGTGTTCCTTTCCATGTAGAGTGGCAGACTGGTTCAGTGCTAAATGTGGGTTCTTTTTGGAGGCACTGGTGGACTGCTATACACATGTTCCTAGTGGTCACCAGTTCACCAGTGGACTACTGCAATACTCTACACAATGCCCAGCTACCTTGGAGGAGCCTACTGGGTGCCTCAGATGGGGCAGACATGTTCAAAAGTGTCAAGTAGAGTACTAGGGTGAGTCATTTGTGGACCCAGAAGGAACATGCCCAGTGGTGTACCAGTGCATGTAAAGGGAACCCATGTTCAGCAATGAATTGGTCCATCCTGGCACACAGAAAGGGATGTGTGTCTTTTCTGTTTTGTTTGAGGGAAAACTCATGAGTACCACACCTCCCCTCCCTTCTCAGTTTGGGAGAATCAGTTCAGATCTTTGTATACTGAACCAGTCCAGAAGATCACCCCAAATGAGCCAGCTCTTGACGTTCTAATGCAGTGTTTTTTCAAACTTGGCCACTTGAAGATGTGTGGACTTCAACTCCCAGAATTCCCCAATCAGCATTCTGGGAGTTGAAGTCCACACATCTTCAAATGGCCAAGTTTGAAAAACACTGCTCTAAAGCAATGGCTTCAGCAAAGGCCCCAGACACTGACTGTGTTCTACCTGAATCGCTTAGAAAGAACTGTGTACTGTGGGTACCCCTCCTTGTGTCTCTCTCCGCCCATATTGACCAAACAGGACATATTGCCAAGGACTAAATGCTAGCAATAATCATCCCAATATACAAGAAAGGAAACAAAGAAGTTCCAGCCAACTGCAGACCTATTGTCAGCCTTCCAAGGTAGACAAGGCTAGGAAGCCAATGCCATGTAGGTCAGGACTATTTTTGTTGAAAAACTATATTGTAGTCCTCACTTACTGACAGTAACTGAGACCGGGAACTCCGTTGCTAAGCGATGCAGTCATGAGGTACAATGTCACATGACCATGCTGACTTATGACAGCAGTTCCGGCAGTCCCAGTTGCCATCATTAGAAAAATCCTGTGCAGTTGCAACGTGTCTGTGTTCACGCGATTGCCATTTGCAACCTCCTGCCGGCTTCCCCATTGACTTTGCTTGTCAGAAGCTGGCAGAGAAGGCCACAAATGGCGATCATGTGACCACAGACACGCTGCGACAGCCACAACTCCAAGGACCTGTTTTAAGTACTCCTTGTCCAGCACTGTCATAACTTTGAATGGTCGCTGAACAAGTGTATGTTAAGCGAGGACTACCTGTAGTGACAGAATCTTGCAAGTCTGAATGTGCTTCCCCCCTCCCTTTATCTTTGTGAGAACTAGGGAGGGGCTGGTCTGAAACTGGTTTATTCAAGTCATGTACCTGCCCCTGTGACTTTGGAGAAATCAAAACTATCCAACAGGTTATTTTGCTGCAATTTTTACAGGGATCTGCACAGGGATTACTGTACATATCTCCTCTGTCGCAACACCTCCCAGGAAGGATATAAGGATACTATGTCAGTCTTCTCCTCTCCGATTCCAACTATATTATTATTATTAGTAGTAGTAGTAGTAGTAGTAGTAATAGTAGTAGTAGTAGCAGCAGCAGCAGCAGCAGCAGCAGCAGCAGCAGCAGCAGCAGCAGCAATAGTATACCAACACAGTGGCCAAATTTTGTGTGGCTGCAGTGAATATGTGAGAACACAGTGTAAATATGATTAAAGCTTCCAGTCTGGACCTATTTGATTCATTTTACTATCTTATTAATATTAATTTTACTAATTTTATTTATTATTATTATATTTTTATCCTGTCTTCTCTCTCTCTCTCTCTCTCTCTTTCTCTCTTGGTGGCAAACGTACCTAATACTCCTTCCTCCTCCTAGTTTCCCCACAACAACAACCCTGTGAGGTGGGTTGGGCCAAGAAACAGCAACTGGCCCAAAGTCACCCAGCCAGCTTTCATTTATTACTCCTTTTATTAATTTTACCCGTCTTGTTTAAATTCCTTTAATATTACTCATCTATGATTATAACAATGAATTAGATTGATTTATTGATCTTTTTTATTGCTGCCAACTGAAGAGGAAGATTGCAATCTGCTGTGGAAATGCCCAAACTCATAAACTCCCTCCTCTCGTACACTCACCTGTACACACAGACAAAGCACAGAGATCTCCACAGCCGGCCACTTAAGTTTGCATGCAACATCTAAGTCACCAAACCTTTCACCCTCTCAGGTTTCCTGTTCTAGCAGTACTGAATGACACCATTTCCGAGAAACAGTGTGACTTCAGTTCTGCTGCTGCACAGAACAAAAAGCTTTCTCCTAGATTGAATATTTGCAGCCTTTCTTTCTCCAGGCAGAAGCTATGAATGTGGAGACAAACAGACGCTTTAAACCAAGCATGAAAAATCACCATCTCTTCCACTGAACAAGCACAGAGCTGGGTTTGAATAAAGGCCTTCCTTCCGATCAATAGCTAGGATTGGCATAATCCATGCTACAGTGCCAGCAATCTCCTTTTCTCAGAGGGTCAACCCCCCCATTACCTCCCCCCCAAAGCAGAAGCAGGGGAATATTTACCTAAACATGTTTAAGAAAATACTTATATAAGATAAATATTTTTACTCAGTATTTACTAACTCACATATTTAGCAATATATACGTTGGATTTACCACATATATGTTGGATGGAAGCCACTGCATTAACTTTGCTGGGTGCCTCTCTTTTCCCCTGAGTTGGCACTTCCTGATCCTACTTTTCCTTTGACATAAAAGCTTGCATCTCTTCTGGATGGGCTGCTCACACAGATTAGAATGCTGTTTCTATTCATACTGTTGGTGCCAAAATACATTTACCTAAAGAAATTGGTGGTGGTGTTTTTTTAAGTCTTAGAGTACCAAATCATCCTGGAGAAAAGTCTATCTATGTGGTTGCTAGGGGGTGACACTGACTTGAGGGTTCATCATCACCATGAGTAGCAGAAACAAATTTGTTGGGTGTTTATGTACATTTTCATCTTGGATTAGCTCTAAAAAGGTTCATGTTCCATGAAGGCATAGACAGCTGGCAATCGCCCACGTTTCTGCCCGTCAGAAACTTTCTCTGCACTGTTCCTGTTTCTCCGAATCATTCCTAAATGTAGTGCCCCAAACGGGCAAGGCATCTCAAGTGGGGATTGTCCAAAGTAGAATACATTAGAAATAGTATTGCCCACGATACTTTCCCAAGACCTGAAATAGACGCTTAACATTACAGCCATTGTTAAAAAGGCACAACAAAGGATGTTCTTCCTGCATCAACCTAGGAAGTTTAAATTATCCCAGGAGCTCTTGGTGCAGTTTTACAGGGGAATCATTGAGTCTGTTATCT